TATATATATATATATACATATATATATATATATACATATACATACGTATATATATATATATATATGTATATATATATACGTATATATATATATATATGTATATATATACATATATATATGTATATATATGTGTGTATATATATATATTCATATGTATGTATATATACATATATATATGTATGCATATATACATATATATATGTATATATACATATATATATGTATACATGTATATATATGCATATATATATAAATGTATATATATGCATATATATGTATATTCATACACATATATATATAGATATATATATATGTATGTATATGTGTGTGAGTATATATATACCATGATAGAATACCATTATGGTAAAAAAGGGAGATCAGACGGAACTTATCAAGGATAAAGTTCAAAGTGAACTTCATCTTATTACTTTAGAGGGACGTAATCTAGATAAACAGCCGACCAGAATCTATATCTTCTATTATAAAGGCCTGTCATGGTCAGAATTCAGCAGTAATGCACAACTGAAAGATAATAGATGGTGGGCCAAGATATCAGAAGAGAAGTTCTGGGTTATTTAGAATTTTAGAGTGCCTAAAAACAGAAGAATGGCAACTTATTTTATTGAAGAGAGAAAGTATGTCCATAGTAGAGATAACAGAGAGGAAAAGGTACAAAAGTAGTGAAAAATACAGGAAAACAGATGAGAAGAGAGATAAGGGCCTTTCAAACCCTGAGAAAGCTTTGGTATATCAAGGACCAGCTGAACAACAATATCATATTCTCTCACCAACTAGGACTCATGAATATGTATAAAACTGAAGCTACTGGCCAGCCAAATTTTTTTTCCATGTCAGCTAAATTGAATATAATAGAACTATAAAAAGAAATATTTATTGGCTTATGTAAAAACCAGTTGTGCCCCTTCTAGGAGGCACTCCAATTCAATAAGACTCTGAACATATTTCTCTTGTTTGAGGATAAAAATAGTTAAAATCCTGAAAATATTGACCTAAAGTAGACCTAATGACCTATGATACAACATACACATAGGCTTCACCCAAATTGATCATAAGATAAAATATTGGGCACACCAAGAGAATAATTCCAAAATAGGCACAATATGCCAACAACAAGACTAGGGAAATTAAAACAAAAGTAAGGCTTAAGGGGCTCTGTAGATGCCACACTATGATACATCATGACCAATCTGTTTGATAAATGCAGATTTTATATGTTTAAGAAATAGATGAAGCTAAATTCTCCAACTATATAAACAGTAATAGAACCAAAATAAGTTTTCAGTTGTATCACAGACCTAACATGTTCAGTGGAGCAATGTTTATATAGTGCTGCGGCCATTTCCTCCTCTGGTCAAATCAACGAAGATAAATATATGGCTAATAAGTTGAAGCTAAATTCTCCAACTATGTGAACAGTAATGGGACCAAGATCAGTTTTCAGCTGTATTGCAGAAATCAGTTTCCTCCTTTACCCAAGTGTTGTCCACCCAAATCACCAAATACATACCATATGATAGGTAGTCAAGAAATTTAAGGACTTGCTAGTGAGTTTTATTGGCACCATCTGAAACAATTAATAGGCCTCCTCTCCCTCTCCAAATGAAAAACAAGGACTCTTCATGTGATCATACCAAACTCTGAAAACCAAACGATAGAAAACTAAGAACACCAAACAGAAGTTATGGACACTGCTCCACACGAAATTGGATGAAAGAGAACCAAAACCATAAAAGCAGCATCACTTTTTCGTTCTTGTCAGGATAAAAATTGGTTAGGGAAAAATCTTATAAAATGCACAATTTCTAGAATGGCCTAGTTACCTCCATAAAGGGTTCTTATTAGATAAGAATATTTTCACTTTGCATTTATGCTTTAACAATATAAATGCCTGGAACAACTCTCTCACGACCTCAGCCAGTGGTTCTTTAGTGCAAAGAAAACTTAGCAATAAGACATAACCTACTGCAGTAATCAATGAGAAGAGGAAAGCAATATTGACATGCACATAGCAGTTTTAGATGTATATTTCATGTGCATGTAGCTGAACAAATATAAGAAATTCTCACTCTTACTTCTTTTGGTTCATCTGATTTTCTACCTAGTCTTTCTAGTCTTATGTTTTTTATTCAATGATAGGAATCTCACTGTCCTCTATTTTCCCCCTAACGTCCCTTAAGTACTCCCCAGAAAAGCAAACTCATCAGGAATGAGTAAGTTAGGGAGCAACTAACACAAATAGCAGTCAACATTCTGGTTAGGGCTTCAAAAATACCACATCATCTAGCAGCATCGATAAACACTAATGAATCTAAGAGTGGTCGACTGTCGTTACAAGAATTTAATCACTTCCAGAGGAGCATTTAGTTTTTAATGTACCCTCGTAAATAAAAAAAAAACAAAGTTCAATTTGCAAAAAACTGTGAGAATACTTCAACTAATATATATGGGAGCTGTAACCGAAAACTGAATACTCCAACCCTGAGACTAGTACGACAGCTTGTAATTTGTACTAGGACACACGCCAAAGTCTACAAATGCAAGCAAAAATAGCATTTTAGAGAATAACAACGAAAGCTAGCAATATGGACGACTGTGATCGCCGTGGCAACAACAACAACAAAAGGACTCCCAACTTTTTTCCAGTTCAATCACACAAACCAAAGAAAAATATTTCACGGGGTATCCGTAAACTTTACCTGCTCGATGTCCCTCTCCACGTGGCCCGCCCTGCCGCGATCCGCCGCCGCCATAACCGCAGCCGCAACCGACCATCAAGCTTCAATCTTTCTGCTTCTCACAAGAGAAATCAAAACCCCCCCGCAGCTGTGTCACAAACGAGGCCTCCAAATCGTTAATCCAATGAAAATCACTTGTGGGAAGATCTAAGCATTACGAAATGCTCCAAATGCATCCTTGATCCATCAAAACCCAGCCTCGATTCCGATTAGTAGAAAAAATTCCTGTTTCGGAGCACTTGTTCGGATCTTAACAGAGGGAAGAGGAAAGAGATGGGATTTGAAAAGCGCTCCCCTTCCTGGCTTCACTTAGCTGTAATTTTTCCTTGTAGCTGTTGATCTAGCAAGTTGATCCATTTAGGAAATCTGATTCACGATTAGGGACCTCGTACAAAAGATATTTATGAACAGAGATGACTGTCCCCCCCCCCCCCCCCCCCCCCTTCCTCGCTTTGGCTTTGATTTTTCGATTATAGGTTTTAGGAAGTCCATTTTTACGAATAGTTGCTAATACGAATACAAAATTAAAAATTAATATGACCCTCGATTAACCAAAGCTTCGCTCTTATTCTTACTTAAACAAACAGTCCATCGCGTCTAACTCGTGCGGTCAGTTATCAACTTTTACTTGCGCAATAGTCCCATAACTTTAATCTATTTCGGAAAGAGCCCTCTCGTCTAACTTGTGTGGTTCGGTCCTCCGCTTCGATGCAGGGTCATCTCACCGTCAGTGTGACGGTGATCGCTTGGGATTTGGTGGTGGCCAGAAGCTTATGATAATAATAATGGCGTTGTTCTTTTTAAGCGTGAGTTGGCGAGGGACATGAGCCCGGTTGATAACTAGCAGTCAAGGGATGGGTGTTGTAAATAAAGATAGTAATCATTGCTTTGCCATAAGGTTTAATGGTAAATTAATTATTCAGGGCCTCCATGGAGGGAGGAATGTCATCACGACCGAACGAAAGTACTTTTTTTTTTTTTCTCAAATTATTAGCTTCCATTACTCGAAAATTTGAGCTTCCGTTATTAGCGTCAATGTCAAGTAAGCAGCATTTAAAGAATCTGAGGTCTTGTAACAGGCGGATGATTTAAAGAATCAGTATTTGTGAGGTCTTTAAATTATAGTGACCTCACAATTATAGACTATAATGTTATTAAAAATAATAAATGATAAGAATAATTATTGAAAAAGTTTTATTGAAGTAACTTTAGCTTTAATACATTAACATGTTCCCTCTCCTATTTATAGAGAAAGGATTGGCCGTGGAACCAAAGACAAGAGCGAAACTTCGCTTTTCTCACTACTCAAGTACCATGATGAAAATAATAAAAAATAAAAACAATTATTGAAGAAGCTTTATTGAAATAACTTTAGCTTCAATACATTAACATGTTCCCTCTCCTATTTATACAGAGATTTCCTCATATAGTTGGGAAAATCTTATCTTCTATCAAATATAGGATAGAGGACTGAATATTAAAAGACGAGACATAATACTATAGTGGTGGGTCTTCGAGTGCTGACAGAACTTGTGCTTTGGAGGGGATAGCATAATTTTGATCGTAAATGGAGTATGGATGATCCCAAAACGTAACCAAATCTATCATATAAGTGCTCTACAAAGGCATAACCCAACTCATGTTTGAGCAAGACTTCTATACTCTTGAAGTGTGACGGTGATAGAGTGAATTTAAGTGAATCCAATCAAAGTAACCCAACTCTTTATCAGCTCTGCATCAATTGAGAGTCCTTTTAAAGTACTTAAAATTCAGCAACCAACAACTTCTCACCTTTGGGTGATCGACTACATAAGAAATAGTAGTATGTCAATACACTATCTTCTCATCAAGTTACCTTAGCAATGGGAGATAATGTGGACCTACTTGGAGGAGAGGGTGAAGGATTAGAAGATGAAGGGGCAAACTTCACGAGAGAAGGCCACATACTCTCCAAATTTTATAACATGGCACTGTAAAAAGCTCCAATCAATAATAATCAAACTCTTGTAAGGTGACACCTTATAACCTATTGCAACGTAGGATGCTACAATATTATGAAAATATAAAACAAAAGTTCTAAAAAAAAAAAATCCTTACTTCTGAATAAAATATAAAAAGAACATCTAAGATGATTTCAACATATCAAAAGGATACTGTTATTCTAATTGATTTAAACATACCATAAACATTTATATAATGTAGTGATCTAATACAAAACTGAAATATGATTCATATTCCATATCAAAAGAGAGCAAAATCTACTTAAACCCATAAAATAAAAAAAGTAGAGAATAGTAAGACGTAGGGGGAAAAAACAGAAAAAGAGAACATTGATTACACATTATAAGATGCAATGTAATGACACTCAAAACTACATAATTATAATAACACCCTGGATAGAGCTTAATGCTAGAAATGGTTCCGTCTGGCTCACAATATCCAAGTCCAAGATTGTTGTGCTTTTAGGTGGCTGTACATGTACCATACTTGTAGCCTTGCGTTACTGCTGATGATGCAGCACCTCGAGAGGTAACTTTTTTAACCATCTTACCCATAAACAGTATCCACCAAATACTTGTCAAGACATAGATCTCATGCAACTCTCCACATACATCTCTTATTCGTTAGCATACATTATAGCAATTAACATTTACAGTCTGCTTCATGAGTCCGCACTGCCTACCAGTGCAAGCAAGAAACTCTTGTAATATCCAGAAGTGTCACCGATAACATCATCATTCAGAGTGGCTCGGTATCTCTTCTTATACTCCTCTTTTATCTTTTTCATATCGATCTCAGCTCGACTTACTATAGATCTTGTAAGAGAGGCCTCATCTGTTCCAAGTCCTAAGATTGAAGATCTTATCACCTAGAACAACAAGTATTTTAAATAACAAAACAATATAGAAAAACACATTTTTGTTACAGTTCTTGTGATATTACCTCCGCAAAGTGTCTCTCAGGGGAAGTCAGGCACCAAACAATAGCCTTAAGCATTGAGAACAATTGGCTGCTGCCTTGATTGCTGATGTCCTGTTCGAATTATTAAGAATGTTGACTATGAATCTTTTAGCTCACTAAACATCGAGAAACATTTGAAAGAGAATAACAGCAAACAATTCAACCGAATACTTGAAGCAAGCAGAAGTTTTTGGATGTTGTTTTTAGGTTTCAGCATAATTGTCACCTATAGAACTACTAATCTGGATCTTATTTGTTGAAATCTATTATTCATGAATTTCTAAACCTAGATAGAAAATCAGATGGTTAGAAATGAAAAATATAGCTTAGTGTATTTTGTAATTCCTTTTCTCATTGCTCTAAGCACCTCATCAATGGCTTTTCCAAAATTTTGCTCATAATGCTTGAAAGTTTCTTTGAGTTGAACTTTGTTCCTTGTGCTTAGTATGCGAATAACTTCCGCATGGCAGGGTTGGCTTTTTCTAATGGCATCATGGAGCTCAGCTGCCTCAGATTTTGCTATCTCCTCGTCCACATGCTCGCCATCATACCTATATGAGCTCACTAGTTGAACCAACAACTGCGCAGAAGCAAAATGGCATGAACTGTTCCTGTCAAATACTCCACCAGCTTGCCATATTAAAGTAAGCGAGTACATATATATTAAAATTATGCATCTCAACTACCTGTCTGAGAGGGTTTGTTTCAGAGAACTTGAAAGCTACGTCTTCTTCAATAGATGATAAGAAAAGGGAATGATATGCCTTTCTGACAGCCATCAGATGATCTGAACATGATGCACAGGCAACTTCTATGATCACCCAAACATGACGATCATCTTTCTTTTTCAATGCTTTGTGTGCAAGCTTGGCATCTCGTTCTGCAGGGTCTGCCGTCCACAACATCACGGCACCCTATACCACAAGACAAAAACATTCTGGGTTTACTTCAAGATGTAAGAAAATATGAGATGGCTTTCTTATTACCAGATTTGGTCCAACAACAAATAACTGTAAGCTCAGACTTGCCATCCAATGCCTGTACATTTGTTAAATGTGTCCTGTAACTGGTGATACCCAAGAACAAATATCCTACTCAAAATTGATAACCTTCAATGCTGAACTTGTCCTGCATGACTTTTACAATTTGTATATATTGAAACAATCATAGTCCGTGACCACTAAATCAGCAATTGATACTTTCCTGTAGCTAAGTTTTTCATCTATGCACTTTCTTTAATCATGAGAATTAGGAACAGCACTAGAGTTCACAACTGAACAGAGAAACAAAAGAACTTGTGAGTTCCTAAAACATTGGTTACATTTTTCTTTTTCAACTGATCCAAGTTATAGCACATCAGAATGAAGTTCCCAAATGCGAATCTAGAGAAAGAAAAAAATTGATGTCACAGAACTGCCAAACAATTTTCCAGAGTAGAACTGGACATCTTGAAACTTTGAGTAAAGAGAAAGATCAGAGGCTCCAAGAAGTTGAAACAATGAAATTTGATTTCTTCTCCACCTTCATTCTTCAATTTGATTGATCCGGATGGTCATATAGCATTCTAATTCTCCTAGCAACCACATACTTTATCAATAAAGAAAGCCCAAACTCCAGCGAAAAGCAAAAGCATCTCCAACTACTAATGTGCAAAGGCTTAAACACCACAATTTCCACAAATCTCACATGATGTAACATTAAAACTACATGTTCACGCAGATCATGGTATAAATTATTGTTTCTTCCGACCATAAGTTAATAGATTATGAACATTGTAGTGGTCAAGGTTCTCGATAGTTATTGAAGATAATAATGTCACCGCGCTCCTCCAAAGCCACCTAATTTATCCTATACAATACTAAATTCAACTCCAATCTTGAAACAGTATTGGAGTTTATAAAATAGTTCTAAATAATATTAAATAAAAAAATGCACAAGCGAGTGAATTGCCCCATAAGGTACATAGTAAAGAAATTTATAAAAATCCAGTCCAAAATTGCAATCAAGACCACAAAAGATTCACAATTCTTCAAGCTGGAAGGCATAACTAGATATATTACCCTGAAGTCGCCGGATAGCTCCGAGTGGAGGCGTTGGAGGAGTGATTCATTGTACAAGCGATCATAAGTCTCAGAGATCGCAGAACGCTGCGCCGCTTTCCGGTGGCACAAAATCCCGATGATGGCCTGCTCGTCCGTTCCCCACCCTTGGCATACATCGTGTAAGATCTGTGTCAGTGGCCTTAAGAATAATGATACATGCCGCACAACATCAAGCTGTAGTACATCGCATGGTTACCTTGGAAGGCTTTCCTCAGATTCTGGGCGTCTTGCTCGGGAGATGGAAGGGGGTTTGGGACTGTGATGGACGCCATGATCCCCTCCTCTGCCGGTGCGAACAGGTGGGAGACTTTAGGCTTCCACCCCACCTCTTTGTATGACAGCTGTGGCAT